CGCGTTGTCCGTCTGGTTCCTCGGTGGCGACCGATCCGTCGAGCTGATGGGGGAGGGTGCCAGCTGGCACGAGCTGGGTCTTCCTTCGTCGAGTCCCTGGCTAGGGGCTTTGGTCGCCTCCTGGCCTGACGTTGGCTGACCGTTAGTTGGATGTCACCCGTCGGATGACTTGATTCGCTTGGAGAGATGGCTGGCGGCTTCACTCGATGTTGGGGCTGCAGGTCCTGCAGGTCCTGGTCTGGCTTGGTCTTCGATTTCACCGGCCGCTGGCCTTCGTTTCTCGCGGTTGAGCGAGGATGGTGGACGTTGGTGATCTCTCAAGCTCTACTCTCGACATGCATGGGCTGGTTGCCTGCGATGGCCGATGGAGGGCTGTCGTCGCTTTGTTAATGGCGATTCTTACTCGCCCGCTCACGTCGCGCATCAGCGTTGGGCGGTTCACTCCCTCCCTTGTGGCCGAGGAGGGCGAAGACGCGTCGCTGGCGATGGCGGTACCATGCGTGCGCGCCAGGCGCGCGCTTGCTCGGGGCTGATAGCCCCTTCGTGGCGATGGCTGTCGGCGCTGGGCCGGTTCGAATTCGAAAAAATGGCGGGCAGTGCGTGCGGGCGGCTGGGCGGGCGGGCGGCGGTGGTTGGGAGTTGGATGGCTTCAGCCCGAGGGCCGTCACCGAGCGCTAGCGCGAATTAGCGCTGCGCTCTTTTTTGCGCTAACCGGTTGGCGCAGGCGCGTTTGCCAACTCGGCACGGTTTTCTCACTTTACTCTTGATTACTCTTATTCTGAAAATCTGGTGGGCTTGGACTCATCGAGTTTCCCCTTGACTCACCGAAACGACGACATTGTTAGATGACAAGGCAAAAACCTGTAGGAGAAAATCCCCGATCAGACCAGATCCTAGCCCCCGCAGTTGCTCAGAGCACTTTCTGCTCCCGTGCCCTCGGATGCCCACAGGGCTGGCTCCGCTGAAGAGTTATCTTATTCGACAGCTGTACGTAAAGCCGAAGAGGAAGTTTCAAGTCAGCGATGGTTACATCTACCCATACTCAGTTTTCCCTGCCCAAGCAAGGATCACGTGAGATAAGATCTACTCGCACAGAGCAATACAATTCCGTTTCCAGCCTTGTCAGTCGATGCATCCGGTTAACGAAAAAGTTAAATGAAAGATCCAGTCAGATCGCCAGTTAGTGCATGATTACTTCCTGATTTAAGTGGACCATGTGCCCTGTACTCAATTGACAAGCAACTCCTCCTCAGAAACAGATTGCAGGTGGCAGCATGGTCCCCAACCAATCAGTAATCAGGTGGCAGCATGATCCCCAACCAATCAGTAATCAGGTGATGAGCGCAGGGAGCATCTTATGAAATCCAACTTATGGGTTGAATTCAGATTCGCACCCGTATGCGCTCAGGGTGCAATCCTCACCGATCTGGAAAACATTGCCCAGGTCAAGGGCTACATTACGGATCTGCCCATGTTTCTGGGCAAACGTGATGACTTGCTGTTGGTGGCAGTAGATTGGGATGAGTCTTATCCCTTCCCTCTCAATGAAGAATGGAGATATTCCCACAGAGGAAAGGAGTTCTCCGTCCCTGTCTGTTACACAAGATCCGTGGAGTTATGCATGCAAGGAAAGGGAACTTCTGTGCACTGACGAAACATGCCCAAATAACACTAAGACGGAAATAAAGGGACTTGTGACTCCCCACCCCACGAACGAGGAGAGATGGTTCCCCGAAGAAAAAGAGCTTCAAGTTGAGGGTTGGATATTCTGGGCATACGCAGACGGGCGCCCAGGCAAATGGCTATGGCAAGGGAGGGCCCAGCCAAAGCTCTTCCCATTAGGGGCCAGAGTTGTCTCAAGTGAAGACCCCAAACAAAAAGCGAGAAGGGGTGCTACCCCGGAGCACCAAAGAAATGGCCTTGGCCAGGCAAACCACGATAGGTCGGACAGGAAGCAAAAGGGCTAACCAGGCTAACCACGACACTCCAACTACCACCCCCCATGCTCTGATGCCGACCGCCACTACCCTGCCACCCGACCTCACCTGGCGGAACAAATGTATAAACCTAAGCAACATGGGCAAGTGGCTGGAGTCTTCCCCCAACAGGACTCAACGGATCACAAACACACAGCACCTGAGCAGGGACCCTGCCAGCCTCACCCAGAGCTGCAGCCACTCCTGCAAGAGGATGACACCCAAAGGCAAACTGCTCCACAGCTCTGAGATGGTGCAGGCCATGCAGCAACTGCCCGGGCAATGGGGAATGGCGGCACCTCGTCAGCCACAGTGGTAGCTGCACAGGACAAACAGTCTGCGACCCCTCCTCTGAGCCAGCAGGGGCCACTCGGGACACACTGGACAGTCTCCGAGGGAGAAAGTAAAAGCGCAGTTCAGGGGGCACAAACTCACCATAAACAACAGGCCCCCCACAGGGAACAACAACCTTCCCCCCATAACCGTTCGCCATCACAGAAAACAGGGACTAAATGTGGGAATGGGTCACTTCCTCAGAAGACCCAGCAGCTGGAGGAGGGAACCAAGTGGGATGATGACCGGGGGTGACCAAGCGGGCGGAGGAGGGGGGCGGGACCTGCCCAGCTGAACCAGGCTCACGCTCGGACAGGCAGCCCTCGGGCCTGGCCCTGGTCCACCATGGAACAGGGGCCCTCCACTGCACACCTGCTAGGGGCACCCTCACCCACATCACAGACATGGTGGGGGAGCTGCACTTGAAACATCGGGACCCTCCCTCGGATTCACCACTCACACAGAAAACACATACCTTTCCGCCGAAGCTGGAAGGACAAGTACAAGTAAGCCAACCCCTGACAGCGGAAGCGCGCACGGGGTCGGATAATTCAGGTGACATCAAGATTGATGATCTGGGAGCAGAGATACATAGTAATCAACAGTTCCCCCCCTCAGATAATTCAGGTGACATCAAGATTGAGGATCGGGGAGCAGAGATACATATTAATCAACAGTCCCCCCCGGTGACACAACCGCCTGAACAGGAAAAGGCCATGCCCCTGTGGAGGTCATCGACCATGGGGATGATCTGCGGACGCCTGCAGCCCTGATGAACCGCCCTACCGGTTCCAATCAGAACTCACACTCCACCACACCCACAGGCCATGGGAAGCCCTCCAATGTGGCAACATTGCAGATTGTCCACTTGGAGGAGCTCGACTCAGAAGTGTCAGGGAATGAGGGGTTGATTGAGCCACAACCGGGAAGCCCTGGATCATGAAATCCCGATAGACCGTGGAGGGAGTCGGATCACAGCTCCGAGGGTCGAGTGAACAGGCCATGACGAAGCCCGACAGGAAACAGTGCAGCCCATGACGAAAGCAAAAGTGCTGTCACCGAGCCAAAGCAGTGAAATACATCTACTTGACCACATGAGTAAGGTCGTCCCGGAAGTGACAGGGGAGATTAAGCTCTTGTCCCATGCGCCTCCCCAACAACTAGGGAGTAGTGTTGGGGACCAAATACATCGCCTTCAGGCAGAGGCTGACGAGGCTGAGATGGTCGTAGCTGCTAGGGATCTGATCCCCGCGGGCCATTGGAGAAGTGCCCATAACCTAGAGCAGCCCCGGCTAGAGCAGTATACGAGTGTGATGGGACGGGGACTGCCCTCTCAAGGGAAAGCGGTCACCACGAAGGGGAACGAGGAGGGAACCGCTAAAATTCTGAAGACACAACAAATGTGGCAGAAAGCCAACTCCCACTTCAATAACATTGAAGACGTTGCCTTGTCACAGCATTGGGACCTGCCACGACCCAAGCAGTCCCCGTATGCTGTGCCAGCACTGCCCCCCCCCCCAGCATCTGGGTCAAGAGGCAGTTCTTCCCTCAAGATAGCCCACCCGGACATGAAGATGAAGGTGATCGCCCACCCGGAGATGAAAGTGATCGATCTCAACAACTGCAGCGAGTAGAACCGACGAAAGAGGGGTCGTGCCAGCGGCTGCAACCAGGCACGGACCTTCATGCACAGACTCGTGAAATGCAGATGCCGCCCCTCCACCTGCGTCTGTCCCAGCCCCAGTCCTCTCAGTATAGCTACCAAGACACACAGCAGAATCTTCTTGAAGAGCTACAACCTGGGAGCCAGCACTCACACCTCTCACCATCCCCTCACCAGAATTGCAATGAAACACTTGAAGAAGAACACGAAGGGCTGCAGCACATGGGGTTGCAACTGGCACAGCAGGATCAACAGCTCCACACCCGATCGCCACTGGTCCATTACCCAGAGCAGCAGGCGCAGCAGAACGACCCTCACCAGCATTGCCTGCTGCCCAGGGATACGGCTTAGCAGCTCCCTCAGCACCACTGCCTGGAGCAACAGCAAGCAACGGAACAGGAACTCCAAGTTGTGATGCAGGGCTGGCCCTTGCAGCAAGGGCATCAACGACTCCAACAGCAAGGCCTGATGACGACGCACATCACTCACCAACAGCAACCGCAGCACTCCCAAGCGGAGCAACAACTGCAACAACACCAGCAACACCAGATGCTGGAGCAGAAGCAACAGCAGCAACAGCTAATGATGCCCCACCGGCAATACCAGCAACACCAAAACTGGCCCATGCCGCTCAACCACAGTCACCAACATCAAGTGCAACACCTAGTGCAACACAACCAAGCGATGCAACACCTACACCACGAACACCTGAACCAGGAATCTGCTGCTCCAACAACAACATCACAACCACGCCATGCAAAACCAGCAACATTTGCAGATACAACAACAGCAGCAAATACACATGCAACAGCACCAACAGCAACAACAGGAGCTCCAGATTCACCAACAGATACATATTACATATGCAGCTGCTGCACCAAACGCAAAATCACATGGCATTGCACGACCAGTGACATCACATCATGCAGCAGGAGGAGTGTGAACAACAGTTCCGCCTGCTGTTGCATGCACAGCTGGCCCAATATCAGCAACAGCAACACCATGACAGACTGATACTCCAACAACAAATCCTGCAGCACCTACATCTGCAATGGCAACAACAACTATGCTGCAAACAACAACAGGTCCTTCAGCAACAACAGCAACAATTACAATGGCTCTGGCAGCAGGAAGCGAACGGGCAAAATGGCCAGCAGCAACAGGGACAGTGTCATCCCCAACTGCCCCCTGCTGCACTCCCAGACTGGTACGAAGAAGTACAGAAACCCCTGGACATGGACACCTCTGCCCCCCCCCCCGGATGGCGCATTAGATGGCCAACAACCCCCCCCCAAGGCGGTATGGAAGTGGAGGCGGTTCAGCCGCCGACTCCGCCAACAGAGGTGCCTGGGCTGCCGCCTCTCTCTGCCAATGAAGAAGTCCAACATAAACTGGCATTTTTAACCCCATGGACGCTCACGAAAATCTTCTTTGTGACAGATGACAGACCGGAAGACAGGCTCAAAAACAAACACTGGGGGGAGGCCAAGAGGGTGTTCATGCATAGCCCCGGGTCCTGGTCACAGTGGAAAAGTACCAGACTATCTCCTCCATTGACTGGATGGAAGTGGGGGAAGCCATAGTCCTTGTGGTATACGAATTCCTGGATAAAATAGACAACTATGCCAATGCCCTCTTCGGCGGGAAAATTGCCCAGAACGACGAATGCCACAATGCAACCACCGAAGAAGCGTTCCTTCGCGAAGGGCTGGCCTGGCCCAAGCTGCTCGTGCATGAATTGTGCACCACACTGCATTCCATTTCACAAGCGTCACCCCAGTTGTGGGCAGACGGCCAGCAACACTTGGCTATTGAGCATCACTCCTCAGGCTGCTCCACCGGCGACCGGCTACAACTACTCATGCAGAAAATGGACGTTGAGAGTGGAAAGCATCACTGTGGCATCGGCCACCAGACCTGTTCATCCCCCACCCAGGATCTGGGTCATGCACTGCAGCAAGGCCAACTAGTGCTTGAGCTGTCTGTGACCCCACCGCCCCTGCCCGTTAATTCACTCCTGCAAGTGGACGATGATCATCAGGAGGATGAAGATAGATATGCGATCGTTCCTTCCAGCCCCCCTCAATGGCAGCTCAGGGTGGTTGAGGTCATCCATGATGACGAGGACGACTGCCTGTCCGAGGAAATGGACGACCCTCACCCTAACCCCCCCCCCCGAAGAGACAAAGACAACTAGTGAGATTGGAGGAGGATGACAGTGCTCCAGTGGAGGCGCCACCAGGGGTTGTCATCCTCTCTCTCACCAGAGTGAAAAAAAGGGCGGCATTGGGTACTGGGCCTCAGGCCACCACAACAAGATATCCTCCCATCGCAAAGACCACCTCCCGGTGGCTTAACGCTGGAAGGTTGGAGGGGCAACTTTTCCAAGGCGGTTATTCTTAAAAGACTCAAATATTGGATCCGAGAGATAAATACCAAAGGTGTATTGGGTGAGGTCCTGCCAACCTCTCTCTCGTTCCCAAAAGGCATTATCCCCGCTGTACTCCTCATGGAACCAAGGATGCGATTGCAGAAAAAACATGCCCTTTTGCTAGTTCACCCACCAACAACTTATGGACCTTAGCACCGCACGCTTTAGAACCAACATGGCCTGGACGATGAAAAGGGTCCTGGTTTTCATGCAAGCAATTTTGGTGGACAGCATGCTGGAAGAGCACAACCAATGGGATGACCCCCCTTTCGACCTCCCCATCAAAATGAAGGAGTGAGGAATCGAGATGCTTGCTAGACAGCAAACATGCACTGCTGCCCCGCACCTATGAGCCGAATGTGCCAAATGACAGATTCCCATAGGCAACAACGCTGAATGGACACCCTAGCTAGCACACCCTTATCACACGCCGCCCATCTGGCCCCGCCCCCGCCCCCCCCGACTGCACATGCCCCGCAGATGGCCACAATGCCACCCGCTCACTTCCACCGCCCACTTCCACGACCCCCCATCCCCCCCAATCTTCCCCCGAACTAGAAAGCCCCCCCAATGGGCGGCTCAGCTGGCCAGTGCAGATATATATATTTGCTCGCTGAATGTCAATCGCCTTATCCAAGCAACAACAGACAGTCCTCAACATGCAACCAAAGCCAAATTCATTTGGCCCTACAAATGTTATTCAGCACCCGCAGTTGATAGAGTGTCGGCGGGAGTGGCAATATGGATGCCACCGTCCTCAAGACTCAGACCGGTGTTAGTGCAACAAGACCACCGACAAGGAAGGTGGGTGTGTCTCAAAGTGGCATATGTGGAGAACAAGTTCTATCATGTAAATGTGTATGCTCCCAATGATCCCATCGATAGGCTCGAACTCTGGCTTACCCTGCACCAGCACATGCCAGATGACGCCCCGATCATAATGGCCGAAGACCTTAACACCACCCTGGATCCGACAATAGACCGAAGGTCCACCTCCCAACAATCGGAACCGGCGACACCCTCGTTGTCGGACCTCGGCCCGAACACGATGATCTAAGACAACTGATGGCAAATAGGGAATTGGAAGACGCCTACATGGTGCTGCACCCTGCCCAAAAAAACTTACACATGCTTATCTTCTAGACCTCGCTCTGGTATCCAAGGACCTGATGGGCTTGATTTTGACCGTAGAGATAGTTCCAATCAACCCTAACAAATCCTTTGATTACAAAATGATAACGCTGGGTCTCTCCTTCCATATTCATATCAAGAGGGCCCCCGGGTTCTATAAATTTAACACCTCGCTGCTGCTCCTCACCAAATTCAAGGACATGGTTCATGAATTTTGGCAGTATTGGCGGTCCAGAAAAGTTAGAAATCCACAACCGGAAGCACGACAAACCGTCGCCTGGTTCAACAACGACATTGCTCAATTGAGAGACAGAGCCAAGAAACTCTCCATTCAATATGCAAGGGAGCGCAAGGCGAGGCCCCGGGTTCTATAAATTTAACACCTTGCCCTCACCAAATTCAAGGACATGGTTCATGAATTCTGACAGTATTGGTGGTTCAGAAAACCACAACCGGAAGCACGGTAAACCATTGCCTGGTTCAACAACGACATTGCTCAATTGAGAGATAAAGCCAAGAAACTCTCCATTCAATGTGCAAGAGACCGCAAGGCGATCCTTGATCGGGTTATGCAAGAGCTTGAAGATTGGGATGGCAAACTCATTGGTGACCCCCTGCACATCCTCTACTTTGAAAAACTGCAAGAGGCGAGGGACCACCTCCAAGCCTATCTAGAACGATAGTTGCAGGCACGGAGGATACAAGCCAAAATCAAATGGGAACACATAGATGGAACAATGACAAGGTCCTTCTTTAACAAGGTGAAAGCCCGAACGAGGGCCTCGACTGTCCCCAGGCTTAGACACCCCCTGGACGACGCTGCTTCGGTCGCTACCAACGCTTATACTATAGAAGATTATGCTGGCAAATACTGCAAGGACTTGTTCACATCTCAAACCCCATCAAGAACTTGGTGGACGTCCGTCAGGCTAGGGAAGAACTACTTCTAGCCGTGCAATCACGTCTTACACCAATACAAAAAACTGACCTGGACAAGCCAATTTCATAGAACAAAGTATGGGCAGCGTTGCATGATATGGAGGATGAGCGCCCGTGATTGACTCTTTTCCAAAAGAATTATGGGTGCACTTTTGGGACCTCCTTGATCTAATGAAATATATAACGACTGTCCAAATGGAGGGCTCCTTTGGAGGCATGATTGATCAAGAAGTGACCACACTTTTCTACAAAAAGGGGGACAAGGAGGACATAAGAAACTATAGGCCTATCACTCTCCTCCCTGTCCCCTAGAAACTGGTGGCCAAGGCACTCACCATCCGAATGTTGCCGACCATGAACGTGCTGATCCATCTCGATCAGACAGGATTTATGCCCAACCGTAATACTCAAGACAACATCCTATTGGTCAATGAAACCATAAAGTACGCACGCCAGCCCAAGGCTCAAGCAACTATTCTGTTTATACACTTTGAGAAAGCGTATGACCACATTGACTAGGACGTCCTGGTTATGTGCCTGGCGAAAATGAACTTTGGTCCCGATTTATGCCATTGGGTGCAACTCCTTTATAGATCGGCCAGAACAAACATAATGCTTAATGGCCACCTTTCACCGTCGATAACGCTACAGAGGTCGGTACGTCGAGGGGACCCCATCACACCCCTCCTCTTCGTGATAGTTATGGAGGCCCTCGCAACGCGGATTAGATTCCATCCGAAAATTAGTTAAGTGGCCATCCCGGATATCCCGGACCACCTTATCCCGGTGACATCGCTGCTCGTGGACGACCTCTCGGTCCTAATACGTGCAGATGCTTCATACCCTAACTCAAATCATGCACCTCTTCTCACTGGCGGCCGACATTGAAAGTGAATTAGGGCTCTAAGATAAAAGGTTGGTGGCTCCACCCTCAAAACTTCCCCCCCTGCCGGACCCATGTGTATCATGGACGAGACAGAAAGATGCTATCAAGATCTTGGGAGTGAGGCTGATGGCAATTGGACCTCCGCCGGACCATGGGGAAGTCCTCGTGAATACGACCATTGACCGCCTGGCAAGATGGAAAGGACTGCACACATCGCTGGTGGGCCGAGCGTTGGCAATCAACAATGCTATCCTTAGGGCCATATGGTACAAACTGTCAGTCTGGCCACTGAATCCAGAAGAATATACCAAGCTGAGAAAGGCGCTCACAACATATCTGTGGAAAAATAGCTTCAAATCAGAGGGCTGCATGCGCACGGTGAACTGGGACACCCTCACACAACCGAGAGCCTGAGCTGGGACACCCTCACACAACCAAGAGCCAAAGGGCGGTTGGGGATACTGGACCCTGAAAGGGAGAGTGAGGCCATGATTTTCAAGGTGCTAACCAGACTCCTCGGAGGAAACGATATCCCAAGGGCCCCATGACGTGTGTGCAAATAGCCGGTCCGGTACCCGAATATGTGTGTCCCCTAACCGGGTGCACCCTTTTCAGTGGTTGACCAACAACCACTGGACAATCCCGGGCCCCCGTCGACACATGCAAGCGACAAGTGCGGCGCTGGCCACCAGGCAGGACATCCCGCTTGACCCCCTTTGGCCATACATGCTGAAGTCGTGGAGCAAACGAGGCCCCAAACAAAAGGGTCCACCCAATAGATGACACTCCATATGGAGACAACCGCTCTTCGGAAACCCTTTCATCCTGGACGAAGCTGGCAGCCCACTTCTGCTCACAGCGAACTCACCCTGGCTCACAGGGGCAAAGAAAGGAGTCTACACGGTCGGTGATCTCTGGGATCCGATCGAGAAGAATTGGGACATACAGGAAAAGCTGCAGACCAAGATGAAGCACCGAAGTAACGTGGAGGAAAAGGTCCGCCAAGTGATAGATGCCCTTCCTCTGGCATGGTGACAAACCTTCAAAAGCCCGACGATTCAACCAAAGGACTGGGTGGTTAGGTGAATTGACCTGCCCAGACCAACGACTGTCTACAGGGTGCACAACACTGAAGGTTGGAGGTGCACATTGGAAGCTTTTGCCCTGCACACGCCATGAACGCGGTTCTCTCAACTAGCCCGAAATGAAAACTTGGATACCACAGAACCGTGGGCAGGGGTGATGAATGTGAGAGTGGTGGGCGATCGGGACAATGGCTACCATGCATACGGGCCTGCCTATTGCCCAACTTCCCTTTGACCTAGACGACTGGGAATGGACGGGCCAACAAACCATGCACATCTGGGATTACAGTGTCAAAGGGGGGTACAAAGTGTCTCGCCCACAGCAACAGATTGGAGAGAGGATTGCACA